AGCTAACCAGCAGGTTCAGTGGGTTAGAAAGCTGTACAATATGGTTAACAGCAAATCTTTGTTTTATCCATTCTGACAGGTTCTGCTGTATCATATAGATATTTATTTTTCTAAGGTAATATTATAAATCATTGTCAGGTCATCAGCATTCCCACAGATTTCCAAAGCATTTCTTTACCTGTCAAAGTTCCACAGACCCAGGTTGTTGTATGAGCTACTCCCAAAATGGGGCACACAGGTCTGTACTGTGCTCTGCCAAAGCACCCTCACTCAGGAAGAGGTTGAAAGAAAGGAGCTGGCCCCAAGAGTTATGGGTTAAGGACACCATGAGACTTTTATTAAGACCACCTCTAGCAATAGTTTGTATTAATCATAGCAAAATAAGCCAACATTTTACTTAAACAAAAGCTTTTTTTCCATTCATTATTCACTTAGGAAAAACTAATTAATTAATTTAACTAGTAAGAGAATAAGTTAATGTACTACACGTGGTATACTGTCTTCAATCTGAATGATTCATGCACACCTACAAATTAAAAACAGCTTAATCCTCCTAGTTAAACAAGACCCACTGGTTCAATTTTATATATAGTGGAATCACAATTAAGGCCAAATTACAAATTCTCTGTCAGGACCCTGGATTAAGATGAGAGACCATCATGGGCTTTCAGAGGATCATCTTCCAGCTGAGAACAACCGGAGTGTGACATGTGATTTCCATGCCTCCTCCTTTGCCTTATACAGCCCAATACCATAGAATCATAGAATCACAAGGTAGGAAAGGATCTATAAGATCATCTAGTCCAACCATCCTTCCATTACCAATACTACCACAAAAGCGTATCTCGCAGTTCCTCATCCAGATGCCTCTTGAACACTGCCAGGGACAGCGACTCCACCACCTCCCTGGGCAGGCCATTCCAGTGTCTGAACACTCTCTGAGAGAAAAAGTTTTTCTTTATATCTAATCAAAACCTCCTCTGGTGCAACTTGTGGCCATTTCCTCAGGTCCTGTTTGTTGCCTGGGAGAAGAGGCCAAACCTCTCGTCACCACAACCTTCACCTTTCTTTTCTTTTCTTTTGGGTGAATGAATCTCAAAAAACATTAAAGATGAAATAGAATTAAGTTCAGTCATTATTCTGGGAGAATTATATTCACTTCCAGAAGCTAAAATTACTGACTTTACCAGCTAGCAATATGATTGAAGTCCTGATAACAGGAAATAGTACCTCGAATACCAGGGTTGCCAGTGTCACACAAAGTCGTTTACTCTGTATCACAGTAATGTTGCAATCCTCTTGTGCTGCCCTGCTTTGCTAAAGGTTACAAGACCAAAACTAGGTCCATGCTAAATGATTTGAAGTAAAACAGGCCCTTTATTTTCAGACCATCTCAAGGGCTTTTGGAAGCGGGAGGAAACCAAGTGCCAGCAAATGGATCTAGGAGGGCCTGACCTAAGGATAAGGTTAAGTGGTGTAATGATCTCCATGCTGAACTTGATGCTGTATAGCAGCTTCCCTGATGTGCTTGGTCACGAGGTGAACAACTATGAGCCAACCTCACAGATTTTCTGCCCAAATCACTTAAAGTTTGAGGCTCTGTCAAACACAGGAACTCCCACCTATAACACTTTCCTTCCTACCTACTAAAGCCTACTTTTCTTCAGGCTGTACTCACTGATAACCTTATCATATTTCTGTTTACTTCACTGTTCTTTATTTAGTGCTCTGATATTTGCTTCCAAAAACTACTTTTCAGATACAAAAATTTAATGCAGAGTGCTAAAGCTGGCATATGCATACCATGGAAACCCAATCTGAGCATTAACTTTTGTTCTATACAAATTTTCTAAATCTAAAACATTTCTTAGATTATAGAGTTTCTTCTCTGAGAATCAAAAAGTTAATGCATGAGTTTCATTCGTCTGTCATTGCTGTTACAGAAGAAAATGATCCGTCTAATGAACAGTTTCTTTTTAGATATTGTTGGATGGGCATTTTGATCAGATTTTTCTGTTTTGTTTCGTCTGGTTGTTTTTATCCTCTTTGAAAGAAAGATAAAACTAGCTAATGACTTGCAGAGTTTCTGTTTTAACAACATGCTTGTTGTTAAGACCAGCAAAGGCAACACTCTCCACAGAACTCATTAAGGGAAAATGTCTCAATGTCCTGCTCTCAGAGACATTACACATATCTTCCCTTTGCAGAAAAAAAAAAAAATAGCTGAGCTAAATTTGGAATTTTTCTGAAGAAAGAAAGAGAAGGATCCATGAAGAATTATTCCCTGATGGCTTGGGAAGGATTTGTTTCTGACATGTTCCAGCTCAACCCAACCACACTCTTAAGGTACAACTGTGTTAGAGAAGATTTTTTTTTTGCTTTGGAAGGATAACACCAGCTTACTCAAACTGAAACATGATGGTATTTCAGTATGTAGAGAATAGTAATCTGATAAAAAACAGGAAACAGAGGTAGAAATGCTTAATGCGTTGAAGATAGAAAATGAAGAAAATTCTACTGCCTCATGCAGAGCAGTTCGCAAAGAAAGATGGCAGATATAATGTCAGTTAGGCATGCTGTACAGAGATAAATAAAAGCAGCCACATTGACGTGCGAGCTGAATATACTATCAGAAATTTCAAAAGATTGGGATATGGCACTGATAACAGGATCAGTCAAAAGACACACAGAGGTAGAAATCAACATTTGGTATGAAGACAAGGACGGACTTTCATCTCAGCCAGAAAAAACAAATGGAATTTGAATAGTACATCAAAAACAAAGTGCAGAAAAATAGAAACAAACTGATGATTCATACAATATTGGGGTGCAGATTCATACAGGCAAGTAGGTGGCCAAGAAAAATAGGAAGGAATTAAAAAACAGAAAAGAAATAATCCATCTAGAAAAGTTACTAATCTCTTCAATATGACTGCTGCAATCAAACAGTCCACTGTACTCACAACAAATGGACACAGATATTCTGTGCTGACTTGCCTATGGTCTGTACAGATAAGAACAGAAGAACAATCAGAATTTTAAGCCACATTTACAAAAAACTCTCCCTTTAAAATCAAAGTGCTTGTATGCATGACAGAAATAAGGGTGAGGACTGAGAAGTGGGGGCAAGTTGTTTACAATATAAGCACTGAAGATAATATCTTTTGTTTGCATTCAGAACACATCTGAATAATCTATCGTCTCAGCCAATTGTTCCAGAAAACTTATTCTTCTTTCCTAAATAAGTCATGTCTGATTGCTCTCTCAAACAAACAGCTGAGCTATGATCCCACAGTAACAAGGGATTTCTGTCTGTTCATGCTCTCCAGCAAGCCTAGCCTTTTCACTTAATCTAGACCATACCCCAAGTTGTTGAGACTCATTCTTTCAGCTCTGGCCTATTGAGTTGGCCAAGGGAATCACTACAGTAATAAACTTTGAGAATTTCGTCAAGCGATCTTCTATTTAAGCCTCAAAAGGTCAACATAGCCTCAGTTTGGTTGATTTCATTGGATTGATGAGGAACACTATGGTGCAGAGAAATCACACATATCCCAGTGCAAAAGATGGTAAAAATTAAGGTGCTAATGTATGATTGTTAGGCCTTCAGATCAACACAGAAGTTGGGGAGAAAAATATTTTTTGTGCTAAAAGTACTAGGAGAAGCTCAAAACTCTAACCCATTTTCAGTGTTCGTTCCCTTGAGCACACTTTCCAATCAATACTTGAGAAGCCTTAACTTTGCTCTCCAAAGTAGCCAAAAAAACACTGACTTTATCCCAACTTATATGTGAGAGATATATAAAAATGCAATATCCCTTTTTGTTGAAAAAGTTTTTAACATTTTTTCTATTTACATAAGCACAGAAATGTATTAAATCAAAGATTCTTGGAGATAAAATAACACTTTAGAAAACCACAAAGTAAAAAAAATAATAAAAGGAAGCATTAATCTGACTTAAAAAACTGCAGGTGATGAAAATAAATTAAATTAAATAATCCTATTCCTACATCTAAGAACCTTGATTATAAGCTCTACCATATTATAAAACCAAAGCAGAAATTTGAAAAAGGTGAAAGGAAAAAACGCCAAGACAGTATTAATAAAATAATGAGAAGTGTAGCAGAAAGGTTAATGAAATATTGGTAATGATTAATGGTGTAATGGATAACTCTATATATCTTTACAGAAAAAAAATATCCAAATTACCTCAGCTTTAATAATCATATTCCCAGTGACTGCAGATGATGAACTTAAAATGTATGCATAAGACTGAAAATGGTTATAAAAGATCAGAGGCTTTCAAAATTCACTGTGTACTGGGTCTAGTGAATGTAATGCCAAGAGTAATATATGAAATCTGATCTGACAGTTTCACAATTTTCCTTTGTTTGAGGAGATCCCCATGCAATGAAAACCTACAACATCATGCCAAAACTGAAAGAAACAGTGGAAAGGATTCAGTGGTAACTACCACTAGTCCATTTCTCACTGGCAAAATATAAAAAGAAGATGAAGAATTAATTACATTAGGAAATCCAAGGGAACATGGTTTAGATTAAAGGACTTTTTTTTTAAGCAGTCAGCTGGAAGGCTGATATAGTACTGCTCATGCAGATGTTTGGAAAGTATTTCACAAACTCTAATTTTGGAGAGTGTCTAAAGGCTTTTGCTCTTCCACTGCTCCATGCCATCTCCAATTTATCTTTTGTATAAAATAGAAATTACAGCTTCTAGTTAAATAAGATGGGTAATTAAAAACAAACAAACAAAAACCAACAGAACAGAATATAAGATATTACAGTCCATATTCTGTAGATCCTGTAATAGGTTGACAGGTCCCTTTTTATCAATAAGCAACAAAAGTACAGTAATAGCTATCTGTCAAAACTAGGTTTAATTCAGTCCCTTGGTTCATATTGGCTGTATGTGAACACTGCACAGAGCAGTATATTGCTATACTGAAACCTAAGAGCTCAGACCTGTTTGTGTGGCTTACCTTGAACAATCCAGCTGTATATTGCTGTCTGGGTAGTCATGGTCATCCGCCTACAGAGGTAACAGCTCTGTCTGATCCTGGTGTCTCAGCCCATCTCCACTGGCAGTTTCTGATATATTGACAGTTCCACAGCATTCCATAAACATCAGACACACAAACAGGTTACTAAAGAAGTGAAGAAGAGTATGGCAGTATGTCTGACCTATATTTAACAATCATAAGTGGCTTTAAGATCCTTAAAACCAAGGTATGCAAAGGTAGAGCAGTTTTCTGTCTGCTCCTCATCTGGTTAGAAGTACCACAGTATCTATCCTCAAATATTTGTTCTCAAAGCAGAAGAAATGAGAACAAAAAGGGCTGTGATGCTGACCACTCCACAACGTAACAATATTAATTCAGTACTGCACAAGTCAGAGGAAATGTCAGTGTCCTTGGAGCCATTCTTTATGCCCCAGTGACTTGAAGTGATAGAGGAGAAAGAATCATCTTGCAGCGTTGATAACTGTGCACTCATAGAGATGTGAAGGAGCTCAGAGCTTGGCTTGAAGGGCAGGGAGGCTACCCCTGGAGCCTTTGCCAGAGACAGCAGATGTGCAGGGAGGAAGCAGAGGTACAAACAGTGTGGAATCAGTGGCAGTGAGTGATGGGTAGGAAGAAGGTGAAAGAGAAGGCAGGCAGAAGGGGGGGGGGGGGAAGAGAAAGTCTTGCCAACAAGTTCTGGTACATTGAGAATCTCTGAGCTTATGTTTGGGTCAAGTTCTGGGCCAATGATCTTGGGTTCTGCTAATTCATTTTGAAACTACTTACAAAAATTTCTGTCTAGTGATGAGAAGCTCTGAGAGGTCTTCAGCTTGAAGGATGAAGGCTTTCACTGTCATGTCCTTAATCCATTATATTTCTCTACCACCAGAGATGCTGTATGTGTCTGAAAAATACAGAGAATTATTGATGAAAGATGTAATACAAGACTGAGCATTTTTTTATCACAAAAACATATATCTAGCACTCAAAGGCATTTCTGCTGCTGGGGACCTCAAACCCTAAATTAGATATAAAGCCTTTTGATTCACTCTTTAAAATCAATTTCTGCCTTCAAAAGAAAGAAGATTAGATGGAGGGAAAGGTAAAGAAAATGGATACTCTTTTGCCAATCCACAATTCATTCAGAATTAAGATTTTCACTTTCCAACCTCTTCATAAGTGTATATTTTTCTGCTCATGCTAGTTCTTTCATTAATTATTTCTCTGAACTCTTGCTTTTTAGCCACATTCCACACAGTCTGATCCTGCAATTCCAGTCATAGCCTTTGGGTTTCTTATTTCCGTTCTTCCCTAAAGCAGAATTAAACCCTGCTGGTTGGTGCCAGCTCAGCCTCGAAGCTGGGAGGCAGCTCAGACTGTGCATGTTCTCTGTACCATGCTTTGCTGCAGCGACGAGAGCACTCTCTCCCTCTTGGGGCCCCTTCCAAAGAATTGCTCTTCCTTCTGTCTCTACCCACAAGCTACAAGGTCCTGCAAAGAGAAATGCTTCATGCTGGTTTTCCCCTCCCTGCTGACTAGATGCATTTTTGCATATCAGTTCTGAGCATCTCAAAGTCTGTCTCTCAGTGGCTAGAAGTAGTGTTATCTAATGGCAATATCCAGCCAGACAGATTCCTCTTTTCTATCCACTTCATTGTTGCAAGTATGATTATGAAGGATGACTCCTGTGTTAATGAAAGAGAATGGAGTTTCCATTGACTTTAGCAGGGTCAAAACTTCACCCTGAAGGACCTATCACTAGGAATGGGACAGAATTTCCATTTTCACAGAGAATTTGTAACCCTTTAATTATGCTGTAAAACCTCAAATATTTTCTTCACAGGGCAAAGTTCGTATCTTATTTCAGATGAATGTAGTGGCTGAGCATCATCAGCTGCCAGAAAACCTTTAGAAGTTACTTAAAATAAAAACAGGCATAAAAGAGAAGCAGGGTGGGAAAGGGTTGTTTGCTTTTAAACATGAACACAAACCAAGCCGGGCCTTTTGTCTATTCCCTTCCCCCATTTTGTTCACACAGTCCTTATCACCCTTCAGACAGCCTTGGAATGCTAATTTTTCTAATCACTTGGGGACTGAAAACTGCTGTAGAAATTAAGCAAAATTTTATTTTAAACCTTATTTAATGAACCTGGATTCACACCTGTGAATAAACTCCCAATCCTTCCATTCTTCCAATAATGGCATTTCCACACTCTGTACATTCTGAAAAATTAAAATTCAAAGCAAAAATTTGAAAAGTTCAATCAGAACAAGCAGGTGGGTTTTACAAAGAAGTGGTTTTAAATGAAAGTCTAATTGTCCTATATTTGCAAATGTGTAGAACTTCTCTTCATATAGAAGCAGATGATAAGGACGTTCAGAATGGTTCGGTGAAATAATACTGTAATGATAAAGTTCAGATCAGCTTTAAACTTTCTTGTACTTTCCACCTCTTTCTAAACTTTAAGGATTTCAATTATTCTGTCTCTCCCAGGGATAAAATCTATATGCATGTATCCCTCATTTAACACTAATGACAACGTGAAAACCTTCACACATCAAATATGTGACTACGTGCTTTTGTCTATCCTAATGGCTTGAGAGAAAACCTTGATAAATCAAGGCTTTTTTTTTCGTTTCCTCTTTCTTAAGTTTTGTTGCCTCGATTAGATAAAAAAATAGGGGCCTGTCAATCTGTTTTCTTTTCAAGTCTCCTCTGTCTCTTTCTAAATTAGTTACAGCCTGCTTTTTGTAGCTCTATAGCCAGCCTGACCTAATTTAATTACCATGACTTGTGTGGCTTAAAGATAAATAGTTTTATTCAGTCAGTCTACTTTTGTATAAGTTTTCCCTTTCATGCATCTCCTTATGTTTTGGCATTCAGAATTCTTGCTCTCTGTTCCTCAGTGGGTTAACACAAGGTTAGTTTTATAGCATTGTCCATATTCTCACAAAAAGAACCATTTGATGTTGTTCTGCTCAGCCTCTGCTTTGCTCTATGCAGTTGCATGCTGTGAGTGATCAGGCCTTTGTGGGGAACAGGCAACCAACCTATGGAGCATCTCCACGATGCCACTGGCAGCCAGTGGCACTGGCTCAGTCTGAGGAGCTAGGGATGGAAGACACTCTGTAATTTCTGTTGTGAGCTGCAAATCCTCAAAGCAGAGGTTGCTCGTACACCAGCTACTGTCTGTGTGCTTTTTTTCTTCTTTGAGGAAATTATTTCATAAATCAAAGTATGAGACACTGCTGAGAGAGGAAGGCTGGAAGACATGGGACAGTGAAGATATTGGCTACCACACTGCTCCTGTGCAAACATGTGACAAATCCCCTGCTCAGCACACATAATTATGTTCATTCCAGGCTTAAAGGACAAAGAGAAACAATTTCCAGGGTTACAATCAGGCCATCATCAATAATAGTGATCTTAATAAAAAAATATTTTTAAAGCCAACTGGATCTACCTTCAGGTTTTCTGTTCTACGGAGCCTTTGCAATAACTTAATTGAGAATGATAGGATGGGGTATGTGATGTGCTTGAGAACAAGAAACCACCAACAAATCATCATCACAAACTTCTGAAATCAGAACTGGGCTCCCAGTTGGCAGGGCTTTACAGAGGTGCTGCAGTAGCACTTTGCTTGCACTACAAAACTGTCCTATAACAAGCTCCATCAGAATAAGCATAGAACATTTGACTGCAAATGTATTTAAATAAAAACGTGTGTGTGTGGAGCTAAAAGAAATGTGTGAAAAATCTCACCATTTTTTAAAAAACACTGTTCAGTGGAATAGCACCGGCAAAAGGAAGACAAAAATATTTAAATGATATTTCAATTTTCAACCATTTCAAGTCAATTGCATAAACAGATGAGAAGATGTTAAGTTTTGCAGATAAACCAAAAGGGACCATCAGGCCAAGTTTTAGTGGAACTATGTAAACAGCACCTTTAAATAAACAGAGCATGTCTTTGTACTTGTGCCAGAATCCAACCCACAATAGATACAAAGTAGAAACAGCAATTCCATGTGTTAGCACCCACAGAAAGGAAAGAATCCATTGACACTTCCATGCTTGGAAAACAGAGGTGAATCATTTCTCTCCAGCCACGATTAACCAGAAAACACTGTAGAAGTAAGAAGGAGGCAAACAAAATGGTGCATTTGTTTCCTGTTTACTAAAACAGCCCAACAGTGCAGCAATGCATTTGTCATAAACATCCACTGGTGTCCTGCTTCAATTTCTCTTAAAACCTGTGACGGATTGACTTCTATAAGCAGTAAGTTTGATTATCAGTCATTTCTGGTGATAAAAACTCAATGTATACCTTACCTTCACCCAGTTCTTCACAAACAGCACCAAAATAATTAAAAGGCAGCCATCTCTAAAGTGCAACTTTAGGGTCAGGTCACTGGGGGAAGCTCCTACAGCTGTATTAAAAAAAAAAAAAAAAGCCTGCTGAGAAGATAAGGTTTTAAAGGCTCCACAGATGGATACAGACGTACAGACGTACAGACACAAGGGAAAGGGAAACTTTATGGCACACCATTAATCTTTCTTAGAAAGATGAAGTGTTGCTGTGACCTTGATGACATCTGAAGCTGTCATTTGGAAGGAGGGAAAAAATGGAGAACAGAACATATCAAATAGAACATTTTCATTACCAAAGTACACCTACCATTCAGACTCCCATTAAGTGCAAAGAAAAATACTTATTTTGTAGGACATAGCCTGCCTGAATAATCTGCTTATCGTGACCCACTCTCACAACCTCTCATATGAGATTCTCAACTGAAGAGATCTCTTTCCCCTAATTTAGAAATCAGTTTTCCAGCCTTTTGCTGAACTAGCAGGGGGTTGCTGGTACATGACAGCCAGAGACAAAACCTAGCATCTTCTCTACTACTGAAGAAAAACAACAGTAAGTATGTCCGTGGTTGTATCTAGACACTGATGAATAAGTTGTCTACTAACTGAGTAGCCTTCTTAGGCTACTTAAATCAAGGATTAAACAAGAAGCTTCACTTCTTTTATGGCAGGCTCGAAATTACTGTAGCCATACAATAACAACTATTGATTGGACACAAAGGTGTGTTGGGGTGTTGGTATGCTTTTCAAGAGTATCTAAAAGCATAAAGATGGCCTAAAGACTGTAGTAATTGTGCTGGCTTATTCAGCTGAAGTGCAATTGTATTCCTGTATCTGATCCAGATTACAGCTGTGTTTTTGTGTGCATCAGTAAAGACTTTGTATTATCAGTTACAGAATCACAGTATGAATCTGCACAACACAAGTTAGCTCCATAAGTTAGTAGCTTAGTTCATTCATCCTTGTGGGACAAAGTCACTCAGTACACCTTTGGTCCATAGGCCTGTGACATTTATTGGTGCTTAGGATGAAATGAATTAATAATGATCATAACCTCTAAAAACTAAAAACTAAAATATGAAAAAAAAAATCTTGACTGCAGATTATTTTAAACCATGCCATAAACAGATACAATACATAACAAATTTTTCTACTACGAAAATGCTCTCAAAGCTGTCCACAGATAAAAAAAGCTTTGTACAGAGATATGTTCTCTATACCCAAGAAGTTCATATGAAGAATGCTGACAAATTATTCAACTCTCCTAGACACTTTAAAATACATAAAGGAAGCAACCAATCAATACAAATGCTACTTCAAAAAAAAAAAAAAAAGAAGAAGAAGAAAAAAAAGGATTGTGATGTTCTTCCTCTTTCCAAATGAAGAAAGACTTAACAGGAAAATATGAGTGATAATCTTACAAATATATATATATATATATATATATCTGATTCAGCTTCTGTACATTTCTACAGCCATTGTACTTCATATAATCTCACATATAACTTTCAGATGAATGTCAATATCATTGTACAGAATATTTTTATATAAAATATATAAAGTTTCACCTATGAACAACAAATACATTCTGTAGTGGTTTCAGAAAAACTCAAGGTTCACTGTAGTTTTTAATACAAATGTAGATACATATTTTAGAAGTGTTATTTCATGCTTTATCTTGATGCTGCCAGAAGAGCCTCCAGCCCTTCTTTAAAAAGGCATCTACCAGGGTTTAAAAAGAGAATTTAGGCCATTCGTGAAGGAAATTGCCACTGTTAATTCTGACCTACCACAAATTAAAAAAAAAAAAAAAAAGAACAAACTGTGAAACTTGAAAGAAAACTCAACAAATGTGTTTTATGAATACATGTGCAATATTTTGGTTCAATGAATCAAAATGCTGATACGTGCCAGACACCCCAGAGCTGTTCTCCTGTGACTAATTCTTCTGAGCTAGTTTTTAAATTAATCTCCCAGTGCTTGACCTCTTCCCACCCTTGTTATTAAACTAACAAAAGCAGTTTATACCAGCCACAATATAAGCAAAGAAGTAAAATAAAAACTTCTTCAAGCATCACTTGGCCTTGCTGGACAACTTCACCAAAAATCACATCAATGTTCTATTAAATAAAATACCATACAAAGAATTTTATTTTTGTGTATAGAATCATGGAATCACAGAATTGCTCAAGTTGGAAAAGACCAAAAGAACGAGGTTGTGAGTCCCCCCTCCCTGGAAGCACTCAAGACCAGGCTGGATAGAGCTGTGAGCAACCTGGGCTAGAGGGAGGTGCCCCTGCTTACAGCAGGAGGTTGGAACTACATGATCTTTAAGGTCCCTTCCAACCCAAACCATTCTATGATCATTGAGTCCAACCACGACCTAACCATACTACCCTAACTCTAACAACCCTCCACTAAATCATGTCCCTGAGCACCACGTCCAAACGGTGTTTAAACACATCCAGGGATAGTGACTCAACCAACTCCCTGGGGAGCCTATTCCAGTGATTACCAACCCTTTCTGTAAAGAAGTTTTTCCTGATATCCAACCTAAACTTACCCTGGTGCAACTTAAGGCCATAAAATACACTTAAGACAATATAAAACACATTCCTTCCAAATGTGATACTCAAATGCCTTCTTCAGGTCATTGTTTCTCTGTTTAAAGGGAATAACCCTAAGAAACTCATATGAACCTAATCATACCCCAAGGTGCCCAGCACTGCCAGCTGCGCAAGGGAAGAGATTGTCCCACTCTGCTCTGTGCTTGTGTGGCCTCACCTCGAGCACTGGGTGCAGGTTTGGGTACCATAATATAAGAAGGGCAAGAAGCCATTAGAAAGCATCCAAAGGAGGGCTATGATGATGGAGAAGGGTCTAGAGAGCAAGACATATAAGGAATGGCTGAGGTAAATTGGTTGGCTCAGCCTTGAGAAGAAAAGGTTGAGACTGAGGGGAGGCCTGATGGTGGCTGAGGTGCAGTGCTGATCTTTGTCATCTCGTGACGGCAAAAGGACTTGAAGGATGGCATTAAGCTTCTTCAAGTGACGGTAGGTGGGGTGTTATGATCTGCACCAGAGGGTGGGCATGGAGCAGGCTCCCCAGGGCAGTGATTGCATCCCCAAGCTGTCAGAGTTCAAGGACCCACTGTGGGTGCTTTCCAACTTGGGATATCTTATGATTCTATTACTCTCAACAGAGTTGAAACATTTCCAGGAAGCTGATTAACTGCAAACAGAAGAGTACAACACTTCAGTAGGTTCAAATCTTCCCGCCTCTCAAAAAATTAAAAATGAACAACAACAAAATCCTTCATATGAACTTTTCAAGGAATATTACTATTCTTAGAAAAATCATCATCAACAGATTTCAAGAACTTATTCAAAACTGTAGTGCCTGAAGCTGTTCCTGACATGAGGAAAACTTTTTCTCTCAGAGAGTGGTCAGGCACTGGAATGCCCTGCCCAGGGAGGTGGTGGAGTCGTTGTCCCTGGCAGTGTTCAAGAGGCATCTGGATGAGGAGCTGCGAGGTATGGTTTAGTAGCTTGTGGTAGCAATGGTAACGGGAGGACGGTTGGAATAGATGATCTTATAGGTCGTTTCCAACCGTGTGATTCTATGATTCTATGATTCTGTTTTTCCAACGTACCCAGGTACATCTGCAAACAAGTAATTGAGAGAAGTCCATTCTCAGACATCCGAGTGGTTTAGCTAGGCTTTCTCACTGTCTTCTATGTACTGAATGGTCTTTATTTTGATATTTTCTTAGACTGAACAGGTGCATAATTTCAGAGTGCCAACTCACGAATACAAACAAACCTGAGTTGGACAGCTACGGCAGCAGCTCTCCTTGTCTTCAGCCTCAAATCCTGCCCATCTGCCACAGCCTCTGGGGAAACAACAGGTGAGACTGAAGGGACAGGCAAGCAGCTTTGGACTACTCAATCCCTGTATACACAGTAATTTGAATCTACAGTTCTGTTAATTAAAAATTAACACTTTGTGAAGAAAGCACCAAAGTTGGATAGGAACAGAAAAAGCAAGTACACAAAAAATAGGACAGGAAAGATGTGGGGAGGTAGAAATTTGTGCTGAAGAGCTGGAAAGAGAGCAGCTAGTTCACTCAAGGGACTCTTCTGACAAAGGCAAGGCATTCTTGGCATCCATGACCAATCACTTCTATTCATCATTCTAGCTACGTATAAAGCTGCTTTATCTGTGGGAAGTATTTAGATTTAAAACGTTTTGCAAAAGGCTACCTCTGCCAGTATGAGTGTAGCGGTCAACAATCTCATTTGGTGTCACTAGATGTTTTCACTTTACCAGCTGTAATATAAGAGCAAGCGCAGCTGAATTTTAGAAAAGGTAATTCCTTATTTGCTTATCTGTCTTTGTTATATCCTATACAATGCCAGTAAGAGATATGCCATGAGAAAAAAGCATTGATCAATTCAGATCTATATATGGATCAAACACTGACTGTATTTGTCACATCTGATCATTACTCTGGCCAGATTCAAGAAAATAAAGGACAGAATGCAGCACAGATTACACTGCTCTGGTCACTTATAGAAACCAGCCGATATTTTAAGGTTACAACATATGAATATTCTGAAGAGCAGACAGCAACCTTGAGGTTGTTTGTTTTTTCAGCTGAAATCTGACATGTATTACATGTGAACATTTGGAAGTCATGTTGTTAATTATGCATTATATATAATTGCTTTAACTTTTATAGTGAGCAGTCATTAAACTGACTTTCAAAATAACAGAGCACTTAACAAAACTCTTACAGACACGTGACCTAATAAAGATGAATGAGCATGGTGTCCAACTTTACAAATTCTGTTTAGTATAGATGCACATATTCCCTTTTTAAATCAGTCATGATGCTTGCAAATGGAAGGGATTTGTTGGGAGTGGGCAGTGGTGTGATCTATGTGCAGATATATACATAAACACATAAATTACTTAGGCATAGATTTATTTTATCCAAGATTTTCTGAACAGCAGGGAGAGATCTGATTTGTGAAACAGCAGGTTCCAGCTAATTAGTCGGTGACAGAAAAAAATTTTCCTTCATTCACGCTGTTGGGTTTAAATGTGGTCTGGACCACTGGTGATTTCAGATTCACCTCTCACTTAACTGAAATAGTTTTTATCAGCTGAGATTCCTGACATTCCTTCAAGGTGCAGCAAATATCCCACTTGGAAGGAATTGGCTCTAATATGTGAACCCTGCTTCTATGTTATGGGTAGGAATGCTTTTGCATTTACAATTCCCCAGAAAATCCACAAAAAAAGAAACAAGCTGATTTTTTACACACAAGTGTACAATTTCAAAGCTCCACTGGAAGGCTCAACAAAGTACTGTCTGTAGTGGTAGCAAGACTGAATAATGCTGCTTTGGAAATTTACCTTGCCATAACTGTGTAGAAAAGGTTCATTAGAAACAGTCAAGAACAGCTTAGAGGATCTCCTAAAAGATTAATATTAAGAGTCACTTTTTATATCTATACATTACTACATTCCCATTACAATGTAGTACTACATCTACTGCATTAGAAAAGTTTTTCTAAGACAACGTTATCCAAGGTACATAAAAACCCATGGGGTATATTAGGTGGTTGAAATGGCAAATTCACTCTATATATTAGCTCATGCTCCAATGGACGTACTTTTAAAGATTTAGAACAGTACTTTCATTATCTCACTACATCAACAAAAGCAGCATCTCATCTTTTTCTCAGTGAGATTTTAATGGAATAAGCACCAATTTTCATTTTTACCCATAGAAAAAGTGAGATTCCCACATTTTTTTCCCTTTGGCTCTGTACTGAAAGAATTAAGAAGGCTACATCTTACATTACGATAGTGGAAAGAGAATGAAGAAAGAGTAACACTGCACATCTTTCAAAAGCTGAAAAGGAAGGAAGACACGCAGGAGCTGTTAGGAGTGAATAACAGCTTCTTTTCCCTGAGACAAGTGCTCTTAGTAATGGTTCTCATCTTCCACTACCCTCTGATCTCAAGATGGACACTATACTTCGCCATTCTTAATGCTTCACAGCTAGGCTAATGGGTAAGCTGCCAGGCAGTAGTGGTCATAGCTAACTTCTGAGATCAGGAATGCTTGATAGTTGCATATGGTGTTCAAAATCTTCCAAACAAAAAGGCCAACTCATTTATTACACAGGTGGACAAGTAAGCTGGTGAGCTCAGAGGCTGGGGAAAAGGCTATTCCAATTAACCAGCCAAGGTTCTGGCCTCTGCAGGCAGCAGGATTCCCCATTTTTTCTGAGCTCAGTTCTTATAGAGAAGGTATAACGTTTCTAGTACTTAAATTAAAATTATAGAATGATTTAAGATGCAATTAATTTCTAGAAATTGTTTAGTTCAACCTCTAACTCACAGTGTGGTCAACTTCAAAGTTAGGTCAGGTTGCTGTCCTGCTGAATTCTGAGGATTTCCAGATGAGGAAACTTCCCTCTGGGAATACCTTTCCTGTGCTGATCCATCCTTATCACGAACATCTCAGAGGTACTGATGACATAGAAGCCCTTCTATCTTACTGCTGAATAGCAGATGGGACAGCTCCTGAGTCTGCTCATTCCATGGTACTGGACATAGTTGGGACAGCTCTGAGGGAACTGCATGCCATTCCTTTCCACTTGTTTTGGTCAGTGTGGACCAGGATAGGAAGACTTAGAATAACTCAGAGCAGATGTGTGAGAACTCTGAAGTCCCATTTTGCACAGTTTTGTGGGTTTACAAGAAAGCACTCCCACAATAAGATATATCACCAATAGACTTAAGTGACATCACTAGGTCTCTTTGAAGAAGATTACCTCATTCCTATTCATTTTCCTCCCCTCTTCTATTCCATTTCCACACAAACAAAGCTGGCTGTTTAACAAAAAAACTCCGTTAAAAAAACAGTTATAGATATGATTTACAGTTCTTTTTGGTACAGTAGAAAAAATAATTAATTTGGAGGCTTCTGAGGATTTTTTTTTTCTTTTTTCTTTTTATCTGGATTTGCACATATCTGTAGACACTTCAGTCAAACTTACCACAAAAATTATTTCTATCAAAAGAGCTTCCTGCTTCTGGATAGAAAACAAGTAAAACTCAGTTTCAAATTCCTCCTTTCCTTCTGTGACCAGAGGCAACTACTGCTGCCTTTTAAAATACACATACCTCTCCTGCCTCAGGTGATTGTTATTAGTACAGCTAGGGGAAAATTGTGATAAAGATCACCTCTCCCACCTAGAAAAGAAAGAAACATTAACTATTTCTTTCCTGTCTTTCATAGTGAGTGAGCAGCTACAGTTTCAAATGACCCCACCTGTTTACTACTACTTGTATTCAACAGTCATTTAGTTTATCTTCAGAGCAGTTGTGCCACATTAGATGTTACTGCTTATCCTGCAGGCTTCAGCCTCTCATCCTCTGAAGAAAATGGAAAGTTCAAACCAAAATCCTCTGTGGCACGGAAGCTCCCAGTGAAAAATAAACGAGCCAGACGAAGCCATGCCTCTGCATGATAAACAAATGAAGGCATATAGAAAAGAGCGTGTGAACATTACAAGCTTTTTACTTAATTACAAAAAGGATTCCTTTAAAAGAATAATTACTGAGGTCCCTCATTAAAACACTACTTTTCTTCTGGTTCCTTATGTCAGTGTTTCCTATTTCCTTATTCCTCAGAGCATGGACTTGTGTCCTATTTGCAGTCCTTACTCACTCAGTGAAGACACAGAAAACTGGAAATCAAACAATCTTCAAAAACAAAGAGGGGGGAAAAAATAGCTTGGGAAAATATAGCACAGACAAATTAATTTACCTATTTGAGAAAACGTTTAGAAAAATGATTACAATCAATTTCTAGGCATCTACAGCACTGTGAACCGAAAAGCAAAGAGTTATTAAGAGAAAATGCTAATGCAGTTTACTTTCCCTTATTAACAACTGGCCTGGTAAACAGGGTAAGAAGTGTAGTGTAAATTTAAATCACATTACAAAGTTTTTGACACAGTCCAGCATAACAGTCCAAAAAGCAAACTGGGAGAGATGCTCAAGACTAAATGACAATTGCACAGTTGTTTGAGGAAAGAAATACTTGGAAACTAGTAGCTTACTTGCACACAAAGACACAATAAACAGGAGAGACTACTTTTATGTATACTGTGTGCATACAACTATAATATCTTATATAGTACCTAACAGTAGTAGCAATTACAGCATTAACAGTAATAAACAAGGTCACACAAAGGCTTTCAAAGCACATCATTTTTTTTTTAAATCCTTTTGTGTGAGAGACTGAACACAGAAATGCAGAAACTTAATTTCCTAGTTTCTAACTTGCCATTTCGGTAATGGCAAGTTAGAAACTAATAGCAATCCTCAGCTACTGTCTGTCCCATGTTTTCCCATACCTGTCAGTGTAAACTCACTATGGAAAAACTGACCTCAGGCTATTCAGTTGTGGCTTTGTCCCTTGTATTGGACAGTAAACTGCTTTTAGATAGTCGATCTTCCTAAGATCTTTCCACTGAAAGCTGCATCAAAACCAAACAGCACTTTGTAGAATTTATGTATACACAAAAAAATCAGGATGGATAAAGGAAAATTGTCCTCTGAGCTAGGTAATGTTTACAATTCTAAAAAGTAATATAAAAAGTCATGAACAGAGAAGAGTGCTGTTAGGATCAGAAGAATAAATAGTGTGATTAACCAAGATTAACAATAATAAGAACAACTTTCATTCTACTTCTCTTTCCTTTGTACTCGTCATCATTAGTCTCAGATGATGTGAAGACTTACCTTCACTAATGCTTAGCCCCACTGGAAGCAACTAATACAGATAAAAAGAGGCACTTTTCAAGAGCTTTAAACTGCTTATTTTCTAAAGAGCCCAACATTTTTTCATTATTATAACCAGATAAGTAATAACAGAAAAAGATCATGCTGTACATGACATTAAATTTTTTTGCCTTCTTGGTATGCACTATTCCTGTTCTTCTAATATTCTGAAGAACAGTATGTGGAGGATGTTGCAAAACTATGAACAGTGGAGATGGTGGAAAAATGCCACTAGTAAGGTCTCTTTCACCTGATACGGTATGTGTAACTTAGAAGACGTCATGAAAAACAAAAGCCTCTGACTGTACTCACACTTTCAGGGCAATCATTCTGACTCGAGTACTCAAACCCGCCTTCTCTTTTTAATTAATGCAAAGATGCCAGACTGATTTAAGTTAATTGGACTGGGCAATATAGAAATTAAGTATATACATGTATTGTTAAAACATTTCTTTTATGCCACGTAGCCAGACTTAAAATTGACCTAAGGGGCTTTTAAATTTTAGTATTATCAGAAGGTCAGTGGAATGTATTCAGTACTGTATAAATAATTTGACCTTATCTATTTCCTGATACTGAGAAGATAGTAAGATGCCCCTCGCATTCAAAAATGTGTTCCTGCATTGGGAATAGGAAGGTTTGAAAAAGACTGACTTAGCACAGTACACTTATACTCTGGCTCATCATAAAGCTATTTTTCACTCTACTGATAAAATATGAGAGCAGGCAAACATTTAATTATGAGTAGAACTATACTTCATATGCAAAACACAATTATATCTGTTAGCATATAAATGCTAATAAATGTTGAATTAATCTTCTATTAATTCTGGATTTGTAATAGTCATAGATTTGTTTAAACTGAGTTGTGAATTCATATATTTAATTACTTCTGACTACATAATAATTTGACTTTTATGTGAAAATCATGTCACTTACTGATGTATTTCACCAAGCTTGTACAAAGAAGGTGGAAGTCCTCTGAAATGCATATGCCACTGACAAAGGTCTTCCAGTGAAGAGGCCAATCTTCCTTGCTGAGAAAGCTGTAAAGAACAATAAAGTATGTAGCTGATTCTGTATTTATCATAAAAAGGCATATTCTGTTTTAAGGTACATGTCTAATAAAGATTGGGATCTCTCTTCCATAGCGCTGAAACAGGATTGTGAAAGAGACACTAACATCTCAACTTCATAACCACACTGACAATTTGATATTTCCCCTTGCCAAGACAAAATGGTAAAGAAGTTGGACAACAATTCCATTAACCATTTCCACATTATTTCTCCTGCTTGTGCTTCACTGGGTTTCAAGCTTTCTTTTCCCTTTTCGAAGTTTCTCACCTTTTTACTTAATCACTTTTAAAAATATATTTAATTTAAAGATTTTCATATCTACTCTTGTCTCCCCTCTTTTTTATACCTCTTTTATCAGCCTCACATTTTGGTTCAGAATTAGGTAGATGCCTATAGAGGAGAAAATCACGAATATGGGAAAAAAATACATATAATTGAAAGAATTTAAAAAAAAAACTTTAAGAATTGCAGAAATACCCTCATCATTTTAAAACAAATTGTATTTATCTTAAATGAAATGCATAGAGTGGAGATCCTACTTCAAAAGGAAATATATTGTCAATTTTATCAACACTTGGATCCAAAATATCAATTAGCTCAACAACAATTAATTAGAGACCACCTGATTTCTTGCAACATCAACTATTTCTGGAGTCCCTACTAGCTAAACCATCTCCAAAGCAAGGATTTAACTTTCCCAGTTCTGCAAGCCCCCTGGTGAGGACATCCAGGGAGAGCATAACAGATACACACCCCCACAATCATTCCCTAAAATACAAATAGCTAAAAAGTGTTGACATTGCTGAGATTCCTGATATGCACAAACCAAAAGCAGTTCTCATGATAAGATGAACAAAAGTACTGGTGAATGGTAGTGAACTCTCTTTCTTTGCCTTCTTTCAAACCATTTTGAATTCTGCAGTCCTGTTGAAGTCTAAAGTACCAAGGACAGTTTATGTGCAGAGAGAATGGAGATGAAGCGTACAGTAGCAAAGTAGGAGATTGGCTCTTTTGTAGCCAAACAAATTTTTAGCCATTCTGTGATAACTGCCTCTCATCTGTTAAATATAGCTGATTTACTACTGTTCCTAAAATTTACTGACTTCTAAAATAAAATTCGTAGGAGACAAAGGACTATTACACATACATCATGAAGTGTTCTGGGCACTAAACATGTAGTCACCAAATCTGAAGACAGATATTTTATTTCTGCAGCAGCAAGAGTCTTATGTGCCATCAGATAATAGAGAGATTACATATAGATACTTGTATCAGTAGTGATATCATTGTATCAGTGCAGACACGCATACGTTTGTATGATATTGTAGTGTCTTGTCACTACCTCCAGGAATGAAGGCCTTGTTCAGTGAAAAACTCAGCAAATAAAGTGAGCTTGACCTACAACAACATGCCTGTGCTCTAAGCATTTGTACTCAGGCAGGATAGAAAGGACAGTCAACATAAAAATAAGAGGGAGATGGTCAGAATTGCAAAATAAGCAAAGTATCTTTTAAGAGAAAGCAGAAAAGCAGAAAGATCAGCTTGCCCTTATATGATACAAGTTACATTTGCAAGTGAACATGCTTTCTACTAACAGAAATAAGGATGTGCAGTGAATGTTTTAGACAAAACTGGAGGATAATCAGTTATTTAAGACAGAAATGAGTGCATGCAGCACTTTGCAGAAGTTCATACGAACTACTGTAACACTTTTGCCTTACTGAACACTTTGAAACAGAAACTGAACATTTCAGCAGAACCTCAAGAGTCCTTGGAACTGGCTTTTGTTTCTCAACCCTAGATTATTTACTCTAATGACCCCTTCTTCATTTCGCACTCTATTGTTTTATTATTATTCATGATTTTTCAGCAGACAAGAAATTCCTCTGGAAATTCATTTGGACTAATTGTTTCATTTACTTTAAAAGAACAAAGTAATATGTCAAAGCACATTATTCTTTTGAGGCCACTTCCAAATCTTAAATGTTAAATCTGTTTCCTGTCCTTATGATTTTTGGAACTGAAAATTGAGGATTTAACTTTCATAAATATTTTATGTCAAATATCGGCACACATTGTAGATATTATGGAGGGATGGTGAAGAATGAAACAAAGTTCTTGCATTTATGCCACTATGTATTTCACCTTAAGATCACTAATTTTCCCAGAATGCTTTATACTTTACCTTTTGCTGTACCAGGACTGCTATCCATTTAAACTGTTCTCCCATCTCACGTCCCAGCTAAGAGGTTAAAATTCTCCCAACAGGAGAAAGTAACGTGCCATTTTATTACAAATTTCTGGGGCATAACTTCCTTATTACAGTGTCAGCACTCAATAATAATGTTAGCAGCCATTTGAATTCAATAGCTTGCATGTTTCTCCATACCCTACAGTTGTTAAGGGAATGCAAACAAAACCACTATGTCATAGTTTCCTTAACCTGAATCTCTTCCCTCATTGAACACGATCCTAATTCTTTGATGTATTATATGGTTTTGCACAAGACTGAAAAGAGCTAGTGTGGTGCTGGAGCAGATTACCTCTGGGACAAGTAGAATAAATAAAGGAAAAAAATAATTAATTTTCACACTTTATAACTGTGGCATACGCCCTGATACTACACACAGGAGACGCTTAATGGCTCTTATTTATTCTTGTTCTTTAAGGACAAACCAATTAATGTTATTCTGGGAGGTGTGAGGTACACCTACTATATCCACTCTATATCCACTCTAACGAAAAGAAACTGTTCCCATTGTTTTGATGTACCTTCCTAGCATCCTCTCTCACACCTTCAGATGATGCGTGCAGCTGTTAAATCAATATTTAGTTCACTGATGTGTGACATCAAATTGACAAAGACTGACTTAGTGTCCTGGGTATTCTTCTACCATGTTGTGCCTATTTAAAGTATTGATGTCTAGAGGAGTGACAAGCTTAGGGGGAAGGTTTATTGAATTACTGAATTATTATATTATTATATTGAATTATTGAATTGGTGGTCTGGAGGAAGCAGCATTCTGTGAATTATTGCTCGATTGTGTAATAAAACCTGTGTTCAAATAATGCTGCCTACATACAGCATATTTAAACCAGTTTAGTTTTAGTTGAAGGAATTTAGCATGTTTGCTCTTTCAATTGTAATGGTCTCTCATGTTTTCTAGGAGATTTTCTTCAAGGACACGATCAAATAGAAATAAGTTTGCATACTTTTCCACAGCTAAACCTGAAAAGAAAGTGTCTAATAATTTGGAGATGCAGCTGGTAATATTCGCATGTATGTAAGTGGTTGAATACTCTGAAAGTCAACTGCAAAATTACCATACGCACCTTTACTTTTTGCCCTGCTTAGTATTAACATACATAACACTTCTTTGTCATCTGTCGACCTAATACTTGAGAACAAGAAAAGGCCCCTAAATTACACTGAGAATTTTCTAACGTCACTCTAAAGAATAGACTTGTTCCTTTCATATGTATTTATATAAAACAAAGAATTTACATGCATTTTGTATCATGTACTTTCAGAGCAACCTACATATCATATCATCTCTCCAGCAACAGCCCAGCACTTCCCTTGATTCTGGAGGAAAGATTATTCAGTACATAAATCATACTCTTCCCCCAGAGTATGTCCCTTAAAGTCTACTTATTGCAAAGCCAGCTCTGTACAGTCAGATTCCATAATACCATGCTTTCAAAACAGTTTTCACTTAAGAGTCCATGGCTGAAGTCCAGGATGGCAGATCCAGACAACATTTACAACCATCTGATAGACATTGCATCTACCATGGCAAACATCTCATCCAGGGGAATGCAAGCTATTTTTTCTGACAAACCATCATCTTTTGGAGTCTTAATCACCTCTTCCTTCCTGACTTCTACTATTCTATATTCTCAAAGGCAAGAAATAGTGAACTTTATACATTCTTTCACTTCTCTAGCTTCATAATTTCTACCAGCTTGCTATCATCAGGTTTACTCGCCCCTAAGATCAACAACCTTTTTCTCACAGAGTAAAAGCAAGAAAGAGCCTAAGGTTTTCTGGGTAAGACATGTTTGTCCCATCTCAAAACTCTGCTGAGCACACAGTTTTCTCTTCAATTCTTTACATTAATCTCAGGGGTTCAAACTAGTAATTTTAGATACTCTGTCACGTTAAAGGGAACAACTTTTGTACAAATTTTTCTCAAAGTCAATAGGTTCTGTTTCTTCTCTAACTACAGAATCTGTTCCTGCCTCCCTAGTTTCTGCCTTTGTAGGCAAGTAAGTGGTTTCCTTCCACTAAGTAAGTGGTTTTTGCCTTCCCTCTTAGTTTTTATCTTTCGTGCAGCCTGACTCTTCATGTTGGAATCTTCTGACTTATTTCCACACTGCAGCTTTCTTCTTGGAATATTTCACAGAATCACAGAATTGCAGGGGTTGGCAGGGACTTCAAGAGATCCAACTCTCCTGCTAAAGTAGGTTTCCAACATTAGGTCACACCAGCAGTATTTGCAATTCTTTGACCGTTTCCCCTCCCTACTCCAGTTATTCTGTTCCTCAAATGGGACAAATACATCATGATCAGAAGATTTCTACGGTAGGTAAAAGAGTAACCTTCTCCTTGGTGACACTACCTGCCTCATTTAGTTCTACATTTTGCCTCATTACTAACTACTCATGGAAACTGTAAACATCATTCCCCCCATAAAATCATAGAACATTTACTCAAGTAAGCTCAACCAAGCAAACAAATTGATGCATACAAGGAGAACAATATAAAAGCTATCAGCAGGGTGCAGGTTTATTTTATGCGGATGTACAGTTTGCATGCTAAGGGGCTCAGCAGCACTCAAGTTTCCAAAAAAGTTTTTTTTGCTTGACCAATTTTCTTCATTACTTAAAGAACCCTGCAGAATTCAGAACTGCTACTACAAACACATTACAGAAAGAAGTCTGCATGGCTTTTTTAATAAGTTTTTCA